GACAAGCAATTCAATACATTTCTTTCTTTTCTTTTTTATTAATATTCAGTGGATGTTCCATTAAGGCCATCTTGCGTTTGCCCACTGTAAAACTGGCATGTTTCTTTCAGTGAGTGATGTTTAGTGTTAAATCTCAAAATCAAAATCATTTCAGGTTTTTTTTTTTTTAATTTTTGAAAGGTTTGAGTTTCACCTTAATATTGTCTGTTGACTAACCAGTTTATATCATCAACAGCACTTCATTTAGTCATCGCAGACTTATTTTGCCATTATTTTCTGTCAGGAGAAAGCTCCATTTTGCCAGAGATGTCATGCCATACTATGTTTGCACTAATGTCATTTATAGCGAATAATATTTAGTCTTGTTGGGCAACAAATGCTTACAGAGCAGATGGATGTATAGCTCATTATAAATGTGTACATATATGGGCAAATATATTCCTTTGTATATTCTTTTATGGTGTTTTTGATATGCCACACAGTGTTAAAGCAGCAGTGAACATTATGAAGTGTCTTGAGGACCGTGTGAACACTCTCAAAAGTGGGATTGATCCTGAGGACACAGATTTGTTTTGCGTTTTTGCTGTTTTTTTTTAAAAGATGCATTTCAGAATGGCAAGTTTGTGTGCATGAGTACGTTTGATGTATGAGCAAACACAAATGACATTCGAAACATTCTGTATCGTAGTTTTTGCACAATTTTCTTCAAAGAAAATAAATTGAAATGTAGCTAGAACAAATGTTGTTTTAATTGATGTGATTTTTGTCTTTTTAATGGGTGATTTAACAGTTTCACAGAGTTTCTTTCTTGTTAAGAAATTACAGTTTGGTAAACTTCAGTTTTCTGGCTTCATAATTTTCAATCTGACATGCTAAACGCACAAAAAAAAGTTTTTGTTTACATAATATGTGTGTGTGTGCTGTGTATATTTATTATGCATATATAAATACACATGCATGTATACATTTCAGAAAATGTTGTTTATATAATATATATATTTATATATAATATAAATGATATGAATATAAATATATGCATGTAAATAGTTCAAATATATGCTGCATGTGTGTGTATACACTCTAAAAAAAATGCTAGGTTAAATAGAACCCAGTGCTGGGTTAAAAAGGGACAAACCCAGCTATTGGGTTGTTTTGAACCCAGCATTGTTTATATGTACACATATTATGTAAACAAAAACTTATTTTGGATGCGATTAATCATATACAAGACAGCAATAATATACACCATGACCTGAAGGATATGTGTGTTCATTCAAAGAAAGGTTCTCCTATGAATTAGTTAGTAGAAAAGTCCACTTCTACTGTGCCTTGTGCCTCTTGCGATGGAACATGCAGTGATTTTCCCTGCTTCGCATTCCATTAGGTCGTAAATGTATCTGGTGTCAGGGTTGCCATGGTAACCAGGGTCCTGGGCCCTGTTCACAGACAACTTGGCACCCAGTATGTTTATTGGGTGAGGGGTCTGTGAACGTTTGTTAATCTAATGAATAATTGATTTGTTAAATCAAATGAAAAATTGTTTGTTTGATTGGTCCAGACGCTACAATATATATGTATATATACATACATGCATACATACATACATACACAGTTGTGCTCAAAATTCATACCCTTGGAAAAAAAAAAGAAAGCTGTTAAATCTGCATTGTTTGTCCATCTGAACCTTTGCTCCGAAATATTAAAAGAAAAAAATCTAACATTTAATTGAAGTAAAAAAAAAAAAGTAAAATGTGTAATTTTTTTCTCTAATACACAATGGCCACACTTACCTACAGATTTTTTTTTTTTATTTTGGAATCTTTGATACTTTTTTTCAGGATTCTTTGACGAATAAACAGTTAAAAAGAACAGCATTTATTTGAAATGGAAATATTTTCTAACAATAATAAGTCTTTACTATCACTTTTTTTTTAATCAATTTAACACACCCTTGCTGAAAAAAAAGAAAAAAAGAAAAAATGTACTGACCCTGAACTTTTGAATGTTAGTGTACATTGTTTACAGAAGTATTTTGAATAAATTATGTGTGTGTGTGTTTTCTTATTTTCAGATTTATAGTATTTTTTATTAGCCTGGATATGCAACTAGTTTTTTTCCAGTATCAGTAATTCAAATATAACTTGAATGTCATTCAGCGTTGATTGATTTTCAGTGATTGAAGTAATTTGTTAGTGTGATCTTCAGTTTGATCACACGATGGCGCTGCTGCATCACATGTTCACAGATGTACTCGTGCGTTTGGTGATGCGTCTCAAACTGAGTTTAAAATTATATATTTGATTAATGCTCTTTAACGGAGGAAAATTATTTAATAAGGCTATACTAAAATAATTTTGCTAATAAATTCGATAAAGAGTAACAGTATTATTAAACCACCTTCATATGCTCTGGGGGAAAAAAGTAATATGCTATAAATACATAGGCTGTGTTTAAAAACAATACACAGGAAACTGGTAGGGTGACACGTCATGGACATGGAATTTTAATTCTATAAATAATTCATATTTTGAAAAACACTAAATGATTGACAGCGCGTCTTTCTTGTTTAAAATATTATTGGGTCTTTATGTCATCTCATATATTATTTGGAATCCGACTTAAAAAAAAAAAAAAAAACGCTCCACTAATAATATAGCCCATCTTATTCTTATTGTTTTTATTAATAATTAAAATCCTCGAGAAAAGTATGGTATTAGGGTTACCTGTTGAATTAACATAAAATGTACATAATAATAATAATAGTAAGTAGGCTATTAATAATGTAGTTAATGTTTATATTTATAATAATTATGTCAGTATATACTAACATCAAGAATAAATAAATACATTTTCCAGAAGTGTTTTTAAACATTGTAGCCAATGTAAGTTGCATGAGTGTGCAGCGTGGGAGAACGAGGGGACAAACTATAAATACAGTGGCCCCAGGGGCCGGTGCACACGGCTGCATATCTGTCAGTCACAGCTATACAGCTTGGAAAAAATGAAATGGTTCGAGTGAGAGATGCTTTGCGCCGTGTGTGTGTTTGTTTAAGCCGGAGAGGAGCGCGTTTGTCTCAGAATGCATTCCACATAATTGCCCTGCAGTTTATTCACCAAATAACATATAGCTACTGTGATCTATAGCAGCAAATATTCGTGTTCTCGAGGTATCCACATCCTTATTTCAAACAATCAAATGCTACAGTGCTGTCATGCAATACAAATTTTGGGAATTTCGTTTTTTTTTTTTTTTTTTCATATTCTGTATTTTTTGTACCTATGTAGCCTAGGCTACCTCATTGCTAAAAGAGGAAACAGCCCAAAATGTATAGAAATCGAATAAGATACATGCTTTTGCGAAAAGAAGTATGTGCAAAATATTGAATAATATTGGTATAATTCCTATGTATCATTTTGATTTATATTGTGTTATTGACCATGCGCGACTGCGTGTATATCTTCCACATAAAAATAATATTCCCCCCCCCCCCCCACAAA